GTTGCTTCTTGCTGTGGAGAATTATCAAAATTAAGCCTTAATTTTTTTCCCCCTGTGTCTTAAACTAATCAGCACTAACCAAATCCTTTCAGACTGCCTTTCTACCTACTATTACTTAAGAGTTTCTTCTGATTTACAGTAAGGAACAGGATTATAAATGAATCATTGCAGCCAGGCAGGTTGATGCCAGGTGGGATGAGCTGAGCTGCTCTCTGTTAATCCTCAGAGTGTTGAGGATGTTGAAGAAAGGCTTTTTTTCTCCCTCTAATTGCTTAGGGTGCGATGTGTTTGGAGTTTGGACCCTTGGCTGTGTGTGATTGTTTATTAACCTGAGCTCCTTGCCTTCAGGGCTGGCTGGAGGTCTGCAGGCCATGCTAGAGCAGGGCCAGGGACACACATCACTCTGACCTTCAGTTCATTGGCTCAGGCACCTCCTCAGGAACCAAAATTAAATTTTAAGTGCCAGCAATTGGAGGTAAAATGGTTTATTTTCTTTCACCTGTTTCTCTTTTTTGAACACTTACAGACACAAAACCAAACTCATTTACCATCACAGCTGAGTGTTGCAACTCCACTGGTCAGGCAGGGCCTGAGGTGATTGCACTGATGAGTTTACAAGCCAGAGAGGTCTGATTTGTCTTTGTTTGTTTGCCCAATATCCTGACAGAGTATTTCCTGTTCTGATGTTTCACCTCTGATTTCCATGCTCAGTTTGGCTGTGCAGGTTAGCACTGGTGTTTTTCACAAAACCTGCTGATCCTGTGGCCGGTGAGGATGTTGTTATTGCTCCTGAGCTGTTGCAAATGGTAAAGGTGGAACAGCCCAGTGGCCTGGTGGGTGGTTTTTATCTAGGGAATGTTTGCTCCCTCTTGACTCAAGTTTTTAGTCAAGATCTGACAACTCTGTGAGATTTCTTTGTTTCTTGTTTTGTAACTTCATCTTTCAATGTCAAGTACCACAAGGCAGAAGAGTAATTTACGACACGCTAAGAAGAATTGTACCTAGTGAGCAAAACCCCACAGAGACTTTTGGTTTGTGTGCATTTGTGTTCCCTTTGTCTTTCCTGCTTATTTCCACATTGGAGCACTTTTATGTGCACATGTGGCTGCCTCTGTAGGTAATCAGTCTCCTGATTTGGAAGGGACCCACAAGGATTATTGAGTCAACTCCAGGCCCTGCACAGGACATCCTTGGGCATCACACCCTGTGCCCGAGAGCACTGGCCAAACACTCCTTGGGGCTGTGCCCACTGCCCTGGGGAGCTGTTCAGTGCCCAAACACCTCTGGGGGAAGAGCCTTTTCCTGATATCAAATCTAACCCTCCCCTAACACAGCTCCAGCCGTTCCCTCGGGTCCTGTTCTGGTCACACAGAGCAGAGTTTGGTGCTGCCTCTCCTGAGGAAGCTGCAGACTGTGGTGAGGTCTCTGCTGAGCCTCCTCTTCCCCAGGCTGAATCCCCCAGCTGTACTCCAAAGGGGTTTTATTGGCTGCTGGTGGTCTTGAGACATGAGAAGGGTCATGGAATCGTAGAATCCCAGACTAGACTGGATTGGAAGGACCTTAAAGCTCATCCAGTTCCCCCTCCTGCCATGGGCAGGGACACCTTCCACTAGCCCCATCCAAACTGGTCTGTCTGTCCTCCTGAAGGCCTGAAGTGTGTCCAGCTTGCAGACAATTTGCGCTCTGGTTTTAAATGAACCACTGTGTGGAGTCAGCTGGTGTACAGATGAGTCAAGCTGAATGACCTCAGTTATCAGCACAGTCTCCAGTGAGCTGCTGTTCCACATTATCTCTGTTTATTCCTGATAAAGGTGACTGGCTCTGCTCTGGTTTTGAGAACTTTCTGATGGGCTCTGTCTTCTGGCTCAGCCCCTTTTGGTCTTTGTGCTGAAATATGTGTCATTTCAGGAAAACCAGAAAAATCAGCTGTTGTTGGTCAGTGGGGAATTTGCATCCAGGAACGGCTGTGCTGGTATGGAACAGCTTATGGGATTTGGCTCTGAGTTCCTGCTTTGCCCATCTGCATTGATTTAAAACTAGCCCTGAGTCTGAGGTGCTGGTATTTATAGCTCCTGCCAATCCCAGCATTAGCACAGCAGAGATGTTAGGGTTTGGTCACCTCAGGAAAATGTCATCAGGGAGCATGGTCCTTCCAACCTATTCTCCCTGGGGAGCTGAGTGGGTAAAGGCTGTTTGAATCCATGTCTGTTTGCATATTGTTGGCATCTTGTGCAGGTCCAGTGTCTGAGATTCCCTGGTTGAGGTCAGGAGGAATTTCCTGCTTGCTCAGCTGCCTTGGGCCTCTAGGCCTCTCCCTCTGCTTTTTGGTACAGTTGTCAATTGAGTCTTAATTGATGGTGACTTTGGCAAACGAGGGAAGTGTTGTATGACTCCCTGGAGGACAGGAATGCAGTGGTGATGCACAGCTGCCTGTGCCCACCAGAGCTGGGCCAGGGGAGGCTCCAAAGGGCTTGTCACTGCGGCTCCTGCCTCAAACCTGTGCTTGGAGGAGATGTTTGAGATGGGTTAGAATGGTTGGAGAAATCAGTCAGTGAAAGAATATATTTGTGGGGTCATTCCTTGGTGCTCACAGGATAAAAAGTCATGGAGTGGGAAGATGGTAATGCAGTTTGCTGTGTTACACTGGGAGAATGATTTGGGCCTTCTGTAAAATTGTGTCTCTAGAGAGAGTTTTGTGGTTTGGGTTTTATTGGTAGTCTCGAAGTCAAATGTAAAATTTCACAGCTTTTGGGTTGGTTATTCTTCCTCTAGTTAATTTTTTTAACTCATGAATTGCTGGACTTGGCATTTGGTGACTGAGGAGCTTTTTGCTGGTTATCAGAGATGTAAACAAGGATTTCATACTCAGATTTTATTCAGTTATTCAATTATTCTGTGGAGCTGCTCTGGTTTGAGACCCTTTCTGCTCCCCTACTGCTGAAGAGAGACTGGTGCAGCATCACAAAGTGTTTTGCAGCATGAACACATTGACAGTATTTCAGGAAGGAGTAAAAATGAAAAGCAAATAGAAAAGTTTGGATAATCCTTTTACCTCCTTTTACCTCCTTTTGACTCCTGTTCTATCCTGTCATTTGCAGTGGAGCACAGTCCATGCTCATCCCCTGAACTTCACTGGCTGCACAGCTGGGAAGGTGCCAGGATAATCCTGGAGCTCTGATTTTGGGGGCAAAGGAGTTAGAATGGTTGGAGAAACCAGTCAGTGGAAGAATGGATTTGTGGGGTCATTCCTTGGTGCTCACAGGATGAAAAGTCATGGAATGGGAAGATGTCAATGCAGTTGTCAGATTTCTCTTCCCTGCACAGGGATGATACTTCTGCTTCCATGGAAAGGCCAGAGATGATTCTTGAACCTGCAGGATATGTGGGGGGAGAAGAACTCTTCTCTGAGAGTTTCCTTCGCACTGGAAGAGTCTTGAATTGACTTTAGTTAAATAACCTGTATATTCATTAGGAAAGCCTTTCCTTTTGGTTAAAATCTTATTTATGGGCTGGTGTTGATCCTGCTTTGGTGCAGGTGGAGACATTATCCAGCACTGGGTCCTGTGGCACTGCTGCTGTTACCCAACTGGAGTGAACAAATTCCCAGTGCCATGTACCAATACTCGGGTTGATGACACAGTTGAGTGAACAATGTTTTGGCAGCAGGTCTGAGGAAGTTACGTACCTTTTCCTCCTTCCTGGTGTGCTGAGGTAGGAACTGGGACTGTCCTGGGGGTCTGGATAGGCAGGATACCCGTGCCTGGCCTGTTCCTTGCTCTCTTCTCAGAATCACAACCAGCTGTGCCAAACCTGGCAGGAAACATTTCCTTCTGCTGTGGGCTGAGCATTCCCAGCCAGGAGAGCTGATCCTCCCTCCACTGGAGCTGACACCAAGAGGAGCTTGGGCCTGGGTTTAGCCAGTCTGGGGATTCATTCTGGCTCACTCTGACTCATCCTACCCCTCTGGGAAGGAGCTGGATGGGTGGTGAGCACTCCCAGCCCTGTCACCAGTGCTGGATGGGGACTGGACACGTTGGAGATGGCCCTGTAGGAGTGAGGGTGTGTGCAGGCACATACCTGCTACTGCTTCCTTCCAGTCTGGGCCATTCACATCAGCTTTAGTGTTATTTGGCATCAGTTTGTGGCAAGGTAACAAAAAAACTGGTTTGTGACAATCTCTCTCTTCACAGTAATGCAACAGGTTAGAAATAGTTGTGATGCAACTGGTTTTTCCTTCGTCAGTCACAAGTGTTTGAGAGCTGAGTGACCTGTTAGTGCTGTGAAAAGGAGGTGGATGTAGCTGTGTGTCCTGTGGTGAAACAGCTAAATGAGCTCTGATGGGCAAGTTTTGCTGCCAGTTAGTAAACACAGAAGTCAGGCAAGTGCAGGACATTGTGCATAATGAGGCACAATTTGTCTGCTCTTTGAACAGACTGTTGGAAAAACTATTGGTTACCCATAGAAAACAGGCTCTGTCCAAAGGGAAGAATGAGGAATGTTTCCTCAACATGACAAATTTGGAGCCTACACATGTGGGTCTTAAAGAAGCTACTCCCAGGAGCTGGAAAGTGGAGGCTGGGCATCTTTTAGGGTGATATTTAGGGGGTTTAGGCTCTAGCACAAGTGGTTCATGCAGTAATGTCACTGCAAAGGGGTTTGAGCCAAGCAAGACATGGAGAAAGAATGAACTGAAGGGTAAAAAAGGCTGCACAAAAGTTCTCGAGCAGAGGATTGCACTGGGAGCTCTGAGTTTCAGGGATTTTGGTTGTTATTAAGGGATATCCTAAATTAAACTCCTACCACCTGGAATTTCTGGTCTGATTCTTTTCAACACTCCACATCACTTTAAGGATATCTTTGGTATAGTTAATATTGAGAGGATTTTCAGGGGAGTTGAGGCTTGATTTCAGTAACTTTCACACCTGAGCATGAAACAAGGAAATGGCAGTGGAAGCAATAGTAACCCACTTCTCACACATCTGCCTCGTTTGTGTGCTTAGGTGGCTGTCAATGCACACATCCCTCCTGATTATCTGCTTAGGATCTGTGAGAGGCTTGGACCCCTCTTGGACAAGGAGATCCCCCAGAGTGTCCTAGGGGTGCAGACTTTGCTGGGGGTTGGGCGTCAGTCTCTGCTGAGAGCAGCAAAAGGTAAGAGTCTCAAGTTTTTTGTGCTTTAATTCTGTTCTAATGATCAACCCCCTTTTGTTTCAACTCATGTCGTGGTATCTGCGTGTTTGCATGAGCTCTGCTTTGTCTCCTGTGCTTGCCAGCTTTCTGCTTACTAAAATGTAGTTGCTGGCCCTGCAGTTATATATTTCTCTGCTTGAAAATGCCATTTGAAGCAATTCCTGCCTACAGTTGTCTGATGTTGTTGCTTGCTTCCTCTGCCTCCTCTCCCCAGTGTGTTGGACTGGTGGTTGTGTCAGTGATGTGATGAACTGGGTTAGAGGTTTGATCCAGCTGAGGAATGCCTTTTTTTTTTCTTTTTCCATATACAGAATCAGTCAGGTTGGAAAAGACCTCTGAGAGCACTGAGTCCAACCTATGGCCTAAGACCACCTTGTCACCTAGACCATGGCACTAAGTGTCACGTCCAGTGTCTCCTTAAGCACCTCCAGGGATGGTGACTCCACCACCTCCCTGGGCAGCACATTCCAGTGTCTAATCACCCTTTCTGTGAGGAAATCCTTCCTAATGTCCGACCTAAACCATCAAGTCCAACCTGTGACCTAACACCACCTTGTCAGCTAGACCATGGGCACCAAGTGCCACGTCCAGTGTCTCCTTGAACACCTCCAGGGGTGGTGACTCCACCACCTCCCTGGGCAGCACATTCCAGTGTCTAATTTCCCTTTCTGTGAGGAATTTCTCCTGATGTCCAACCTGTGCACACACACACACCTGTGTCTAACCTCACCCAGCACTGGATGTATTTTGCTGGGCTATTTTTCAGCCTGATTTCTGCCATTCTTTGACCCCCTGGTTGTGGAGATACAGGGCAGGGTGGTGTTTGGGACAGCATTTAGAGGGTGTTAGAAGGTAAGGGTGATTCTTCAGTGGCAGTTTCTTGCCTCAAGTGAATTTGGAAGCCCTCAATCCTTTCGTGAACAGAGCACCATTGTTATTCTTTTTGACAAACTGCTCTGCTTGAGAGAATGGTCCTGAGAGCAGTTTTTGTTCTTCCTGAACACACCTGAGCCATCTGCACCTCCCTCCCCTCCTCACTCCATGCCCCTGCCACTTACTCCCTGTAGGAGCCAGAACTTCCTTCACCCTGTGCTGATTCAGAGAGCTGCAATGTTGCAAAATGTGTTGTCGCTGTTGTAGTGCATCCAGTGGGTTCGTGGAAGAGGCTCAGAGGGCTGGAGGTGACACAGGAGCAGCATTCTGGGGCAGGAGGCATGGCAGAGCAGGACCTTCCTGTTCTGGTGGCACTTGAGCACTTAATTTGCTGCATCCTGTGAAGTCACACTGTGATGCTAAGGAGGACTGTGCCATTCTGCTGAGCCATTGGGTATCTCCTGGGGGGATGTGCTGTTTGCAAACACGGAGTTTGGGAACTGAGTCTTGTTTTGCCTGTGCTTTGCTGTAATTGGGTGGAGAATTTCAGGCTTGCAGAGAAACATTCCTTCCTTCCACGCTCAGTTCGCAGCTTAGAAGGAAACGGCAGCAAAGTGTTAAGAGAAAGCAGAGATCTTTTGTGCAGGGAAACATGTTTTTGGGTGAAAGGATCTACTTTAGGGAGTCTGAGTTCTGTTTTAATGAGTGTCACTTCATACTCTGTGCTACAGTTTGCCCTTTAATCAGAAGGTGCTCTCAGGAGCCTCTTTGAGTCACCTAAGCTTGTGCACTTCATACTCATGGTGATACACAGGTCCACCAATCTGCAGCACTGTCCTTCTGTTCCAGCCCTTACTCACCGTGGAAGCTCATTTCTCTGCTTCCAGATGGCCTGAAATGGAAGGAATCCAGGTCTAATTTCTGAACAGTCTCAGAAAAATCACTATTGTTCTGGAGAGGAGCCTCTCCAAGGCCAGTTGGCAGCAGATAGCTGGAGAGTCTTTAAAGAAACCAGTCCTCACTTTAAAAACAATGATTTTTGGGGGGATGGGGTACAGAGGACAAGCTGAAAGGAAGGCATTTTGCCACGAATTGCAGGGAAACAGATTTATTGGAAGAAACCTCCTCAGTTCTCCCATTTTTTTGTGTCCAAATGCATATATGTGTTCTCAGATGTCCAGGTCCTGAGCAGAGGTGCTTCAGGGGCTCACTGATACCCAGTGAAGTTCAGTCCTGACTCAGCATAAAACACACCTACTTTTTAATTGCTTTTTTCCCCCCAGCAATTTAGACTCAATACTCACCTTGGGCTTGGTCAGCCTGGAGAAGAGGCTCAGGGGTGACCTCCTGGCTCTCTGCAACTCCTGCCAGGGCTGGAGAGAGGTGTGGGATGTGTGTCCTGCCAGGGCTGCAGGGAGAGGATAGAGGGAATGGCCTTGAGCTGAGCCAGGGCAGAGTCAGATTGGATGTGAGGAGAAATGTTTTCCCTGTTGTGGTGTTGAGGCCCTGGGATATTGCCCAGGGAGGTGGTGGAGTCACCATCCCTGGAAGTGTTTCAGAGGTGTCTGGATGTGGCACTGGAGGATCTGGTTTAGGGGTTCCAGCAGTGACAGGTTCATGGTTGGACTTGATGCTCCTAGAGGTCTCCTCCAACCTTGATGATTCTATGATCTCTGACAAGCTATTTAAGAAGACCAATCTTACTCTGGGAGTGGTGTTTGGTGTCTTGATTCTGAGAAGAACAGGTTGTTTGGGTCTGGTTTGGATGATTGTCTCACTAACCCACTGTTGATCTTGCTGGTGCAGATTTCAGACACACACTATGGAAAGGATCTGCATTTGCAGCTCTGCACAGGGGTCGACCCCCCGAACTCCCCGTGAATTATGGGAAGCCACCAAACGTGGGTGAGTTTGCAAGTGCATAAAGTGCTTTTTTCTCCTCTCTGTATTCAGTCCTGTCCAGCTAGAAGTTACCCTCACTGACTAAAACACTGCTGTGGGTTTGTGTTAATTGCCTTTTTGACATTTCACCACAAATTAGTCTAAAATAGACACAATAGGGTAATTTTTGTGTTGTTCAGACTTGGCTCTTCCAGAGTGTGTGTGGAGATGCTAAAACATTGTGTTCATATTGCAAAGCTGTTTGCAACAGGCTCGAGTCTTTTTCTGTCCTCCACCTACATCATAAGTACATGTGCTTATAAGTTTGGATAGGCATGGACAGAGGAGCATGGAATCATGGACTCAGCACAGGAATCTTAGCCAGCACAGGGCTCCTGGCTCCCAGGGAACTTCTTGGGCTCAAGAATTCCTTTTAGTTTGCTGATGACAGAAACCAGATGGCTTGCAACATCCCTCTCCAAGAAGGAAATAATCACCCAAGCAGCATTTGTGTTACTTCAGACTCAGTTGTCCACACAGTTAGATAAAGAGCTTGTGGAAAACTCAGATGTATGTGGCTCTCAGCTTACATCTCAGCACAGAGCTGCTGTTTTGTTTAAGCTGTTCTCCTTGTGTGCTCTGAGCTTAGTCCTAGTTTTGATATCTAGTTTTAATATCTAGCTTTAATCTCTAGTTTTAATATCTAGCTTTAATATCTAGTTTTAATGTATAGTCTTTAACTAGTTTTATAGCAAACAAATATGATTCTTCCCAGGCACTAATGTAAATCCTGATTTGTTTCTCCTTAGGGTGTTTTATCTCTGTGCAAATCTATAGACTTTTCCTGGATTGTCAGGGAATCCTTTCCCATGTTTCCCCCCATCCCTGTGGTGATGGAGGGATGGTGCTGTCAGTCCACTTGTTCTGCCATACCTGTGTGTTTACTGTTTCAGGCAGGTTCTGCAGTTGTTTTACCTTGAGCAGTTGTGCTGATGGATTGCTAATAGCCTAGATTTTGCTTTTATTACACACAACTTCTCTAGTTGTGTTTCTGTATGAACTCCTGGATCAATTCTTGGATCAGACTGTGTGTTTTGGGGATGTGCAGTGTTACTAATGAACCATCCTGGACTTGAGCATTTGTCTTGCTTTCGTGGCAAAGGTCTGAGCTGCTTGTTTGGTGGCTGTTTAGGACTCAAAGAACAGACTAATTTCTTGGGTTTGGTGTTTTCCTAATTGTTTTTTTAAGATATGCAAATGTATTACATGGAAAAGAGCTTTAATTGTTTTAAGTATTGATTCCTGGAGGAATTGTCCTCCTTGGTATAGCTACATAACGAATAAGAGAAGAAAATGTGTATAAAGATTAAGGAGTTGACTCTCCTTAAAGCAGGAGTTTGGTTTTAGGATTCCTCATTGTTAATCCTGAAGTGGAAGTGACAAAATTCTGTTCATATTTGTGCAAAATGGATTTTTTTTTTGAGATAAATAGTGCCAGCCTCAGGTGTGTGTCTTGTTTGAAGTACAGGATGAAGTGTGTCTGACCTCTTTGGGATTTTGGCATAACTGTGAATTCCCACACTGCTGGCCCAGTCAGGTGGAGTTTTCTGGAATTACTTGCTGGAGGAGTTGGGCTGAAGTAAAAGACACCCAGGATATTGTGTGTTGAGGAGTGAGAGCAGATCATTGTGCAATTGCCTGTGAAAACTGGTAAATAAAGCATAGAACAAGCAGCCAAAACTAGTCTTATATCATTCCCCTTCCAATGATAAGGATTTAAGCTTTCCACCCTAAGTGTACTGTTCTGCTGGGAACAGGATCACTGATGGTCCAGCTGGGATCAACTGGGAGGACCCAGCTGGAAGAGCTGGTGGCTGCAGTGGTTTTACTTTCCATTTAGTTGAGGTTGGGATGGGACCTTGTGGTCTGTGCTCCCAAAGAAAAGGTCCTGCACAGTGGAGCTGGAGCAAGAAATCAGTGCTGCCTTTTCCCAGTGTATCTGTGCAGAGTGGGAATCTTCTGGCTGGAGGAGTCTCCAAGGTGTTGAGCTGGGGAAGTTTTTCTTAATAGCACGTGGTGTCTCTTAAGTCTGTGGTGATCTGCTGGGGCAAGGAGATGGAGGGAAAACACTGTCAGAGCTCTCTGCTGCTGCCAGGACAGCACAGGGAGGATGCTCTGCCTGACCCTCTCATGCAGGTTTTGCAGCAGTGGCATGTCTAGGACTCCCTTTGTGCTCTTCCAGTCAGGAGGTGGAAAGACTGGTCATGCAGTCCCTCAGCACTGGGAGTTGCTCCCCTTTCATAAACCTGCTTTTGGAGCTACTTTGATTTTGCAGGCAGCTCAGAGTAGCTCAGAAAGAAGGCTGTTTTCACTCTAAGAGCTGTTCTAACTTGAGGATGAAAAATCTTTCTGTGAGTAACTTGTTGGTGAAAACAATACAAAATTCTCAGCTCAGCACAGTGATCTCCCCTCACTCCTGAACACACATTATCCTGGGTGCCTTCAGGTTTGGAGAACATACAGTGAGGAAGGGCTGAGGGAGTTGGGCTTGGTCAGCATGGAGAAGAGGCTCAGGGGTGACCTCCTGGCTCTCTGCAACTCCTGCCAGGGTTGGAGAGAGGTGTGGGATGTGTGTCCTGCCAGGGCTGCATGGAGTGGATAGAGGGAATGGCCTTGAGCTGAGCCAGGGCAGGGTCAGATTGGATGTGAGGAGAAATGTTTTCCCTGTTGTGGTGTTGAGGCCCTGGGATATTGCCCAGGGAGGTGGTGGAGTCACCATCCCTGGAAGTGTTTCAGAGGTGTCTGGATGTGGCACTGGAGGATCTGGTTTAGGGGTTCCAGCAGTGACAGGTTCATGGTTGGCCTCGATGATCTTCAAGGTCTCCTCCAACCTCGATGATTGCATGATTCTAAAATCTGGAAGCAGAAAGTTCCTAGCACAGTGTCAGTGAGCAAGCAGTTCTGCTGGATGGAAATTTACAGTCAAGGTGATCCAGCTACCTTGGGGCTGCCAAAGAGCAGCACTGGGATGAGGTCAGAAATCGATGGTGTTTCATGGCTGTAAATGAGTTCCATGAGGTCAGAGCTGGAACACTTTGTGCTTTTGGTGCTTCGTGGCCACACAGCCACTGTCTGAGGAGATATTTAGCACGTGTGAGCCCACTGTGTTTATTTCCCAGTGTTGGGATGGAATCCTGGCTCCTGTTTCTTCCCTGCTCAGCGAGTGGTACCTGATCTTTGTGCTCACTCCAGCCCTGTCTGGAGTGAGGTCACAGCTTGCTCACCACACGTCCTGCCCCTGGAAAATATTGGTGCTCTACACAAAGCTGCTGTGCTATTGCAGAGGGTGAAACAGCTTGATGTGAAGTCATCGCCCTCCACACCAGAGAAACTGGTTTTAAAACAAACATTTGCACTGTTTTTCTGTACTCTGGTTTTGCCTGAAAAAGTGGAGCAAGACAAGGGTTTATAGGGAGAGGAGGAATTCAAGCAGGTTGCTATATCTGGGTGACTACCGCAGTGAAATGCTGGAATTCCTTCTGAAGTTGTGGCTTAACTCTGAAATTTGGTTGTTTTCTAAGTTGTCTTTTCACTGATGAGTTGTTGCAGGATTTGCGGTTTATCCTTCCTAGTGAGCTTTTCTTGCCAGAGGTCTGTGCTGTTACCTGGTAAAATATGAGATAAAGTGTAATTTAAGAGTTGTTGTTACACAGCATATTTGACTTTCCTGAAGGTGTCATCTCCCAGACCAAAAACTGAGAGAAATAGGGAGAAAAATACCTTTATTTTACCTCATCACCCTCAGTTAGTCCCACAGGTTGGTAGCTGGAGGAGCTGAGGAGACAAACCAGTGTGGAGACAAAACTTAACTGTGCTAATCAACCAGACTAGATCTGCTCCATTTTTATGGGGTATAACTGCCTGGAAAGTTGTTCCTGGCAGGGAATAGTGAGGGAGTAGACTTGACAGCTCTCCCCCCCAGTATGGCATGGAATATATCAACTAATTCGGCAGGTTGCTAGAAATTTTGAGGGCTGCTGAGTTTTCTGTGTGTGTGGAATTTTGGGGGTTTAATGCTTTGAGGCCTTGGGAAGTACAATAACTTCATTGTGCTGAAGAAAGGAAACTTCGCAGGGATTTTTTTTTTTTTGTCATGTGGGGGTAATTCCTGGTTTAGATACTGTGTATTAATCTTGCTGAAAATACAAGAGCTGGAATTTGGGATGTTTTTTGTGCCTTTGAAGCTGTGATAGTTCCAGGTTTTGATAAAGTTGTGGCTCCTTCTGGCACAAGGAGAGCTCTGGACGTGTCTGATGGAAGCATTTCATAAGCAGAGCTTTTTATTTCGTAATTATCCATGGGAGATTGAGGAGTTCTGTCCTCATTGTGCAAAGAGGGAAATAAACACAGGGGAAAAAAAAGGTGGAATTAACTTTCATATCCGCTGGAGCTGAACTGATTGCAAGGCTGGGAGTCAGCCGGAAAACTGAGGTGCCAGGGCTGGAATTTAGGTGCCTGAATATTCTCTATACCTTCTAGTGTTTCCTGTGTGGGATTGACACCAAACAGCAGTGGTAAATGTTCAGAAAGATTGCATGGAACACAGGAAATACAGTAATTATTGAGAATATTTAGAACTGAGAATCTTATCTTTTCCATTCACACAGTTCTTTGTGTGGTGAAAAAATTATCCGGAGCCACTGGAAATTATTTCAAGGCAGAGCTACTGTTATTATGTATTTAAATACATAAGTATATATATGTATTTAAATGTTTTCAGCACTGACAGGCTCAGCAGAATTTCCATAGAGCAAAGTGATGCCACACAGTGTCCACGGAGTGGGGGGAAAAGAGGTGTAATTTAAGAATTTAGCTTGTAAGTTTGCTTAAATAGTAGATAAAATAATATGAAGGCAAACCTGAGGTACCTCTGTAGGGCATTTATCACTGTGGGGTCTCTGTGCCCTCCTGTTAGAGGGGGGAAAAGTTAAAGCTTTCAGTTTTACTTTGCTTGGGGAGAGAGTTTTGTCTCACAGCTCCTGTATAACATCAGTTATTAATCGAATAGGAGGTGGATAGTAAATTAATTTGCTTCAGTGTGTTCTCCTTTTTTAGTCCCGCTGAATATGTGTTTTTACTTGCAAAGCAAATATTGACTGAAGGTGAGGTGGAGCCTGATGGGCTTTTGCAAGCATCTTTTATGCAGCTTTTTTGTCCTCATCTGTCTTGTTTCAATTGTATTGCGTGGTTAGAAATAATCCACGTTTCAGAGCCTAAAACTGAGACACAAAAATACTTTCTGTAAAACTGGAAACAGTTTGTTTTCCTGGGCAATTTACCTCTCTATAGAAATACTTTCAATTGTCACGAGTGAGTTATGGGTTAATAACCTTTGAAATGACACTTCTGGACTTTGGAGAGGAATTCTTCACCATATTCCATATTTTTTTGTGTAGATTGGCAATGATACAATGATATAGGTCTTTTGTCTCTCTTAAGTACCCAACCATCAACATCCTCTGAAAACATGCATGGGGGAAAATTCCTTAAAGCAAAAGGGGAGCTCCTAAAAAACCCCAACATCACTCTACTTTTAAACTAAGGACACTAAAAGAGTTTGTGCTGCTTCTCTGAAGCCCAACCCACTTCAAGGTGCAGGAGCCAAGATAAGATCCCTCAGGGGATCTGCTCTCACAGGGACTCCACAGACCCACCAGGACAGCACTGGTGGGTCCTCAAGTGCCACTGAAAACCTCTCAAAAGTTTAAAATCAATAATTCAAGTGGTAAGAATGAGGGTAGATTAGTGGAAATAATAGTAACAGCAGAGGATGGGTGAAATTAAATACCCCCAAATGATCCCAAGTTGTGCATTACATCCAAGATGGGATTTTTTATATGGTATTTTTGTGCATTTGGATTTCAGGCTGTTCTTGGCAGGATTGTTAGCTACAGCAGTGTGAAATGGTCTGTTGTTGTTGTTGCACTTTCTCTTGTACCTGATGGGACTTTTCCATCAGTGCCACATATTTCTCACTCCTCAATTCCATTGCCAGAGGAATGCAATGATGTTGATGTTGGAAGACCTTTGACCATCACCTATGACCTGGAATCCAATCCAAGGAAAGATTTTTATCACCAAAAAAAGCACTTAAAATAAACGTATTATACTCTAAAATTAGTTTTCTTGTGATTGATATTAGTAACATATCATTTCCTTAAAGGACGTTTTCCAACTCCATGTAGAATAAATGAATCTGTTGCCTGTTCATGAATTGAACATTTTTGCTTTAATTTTCAGTGGGTATTGAAATGCTTCAGGAGTGGGAATTCTTTTATAACACTACAGAATGTCCTGATGAGGTGGAAGAGCTTCAGATTTATGGATTGTAATAATAAAGCCAATAAATATTTGATGTAATATTTATTTACGTTGAGTCCTGGGCAAAATTCATGCCTCACTTTTCTTTTTGCTTTGGTTTTCTCCCTCAGTTCATATCCTTTCTGCCAGACAATTAACTGGATGTGGCCGTTTCAGCCACTTGTTCCCAACTTCCACCTACCAACACATGAAGATGCACAAGAGGATTTTGGGGCATCTCTCATCTGTGTATTGCATAGCCTTCGACCGCAGTGGGAGGAGGATTTTTACAGTGAGTTTAAAAATTGGATTCTTTTTTTTTTTCTTTTTTTTTTTCTTGTTTTTTGGTAGATTGGTTGGATTCGGTAAAGCTTTCAGTGCTGTCTCTCACAGGAGCCTTCTTGGATAAAATGTCCAGCATAAAACTGGACAAACACACTATGGGATAAGGGAGCAACTGGCTCAAGGGTCAGACACAAAGGGTTGTGGTGAATGGGATTACATCAGGCTGGTCACTGGTGGGTTCCAGGGATCCATCTTAGGCCCAGAGCTCTTTGTCAGCTTCATAAAGAGCTTAAATAAAGGGAGATGATCCTCTTCCTCTGTTCAGCCCTGGGGAGGTCACACCTGGAGTGTTGTGTCCAGTTCTGGCTCCTCAGGGCCAGAGGGACATGGAGCTCCTGCAGCAGGTCCAGGGGAGGGCAAGGAAGATGCTGAAGGGACTGGAGCACCTCAGGGGTCAGGAAAGGCTGAGGGAGTTGAGGCTGTTCAGCCTCCAGAAGAGGCACTGAGAGGGACCTCAGGAATGGATTCAAGTCCATGAACAGGAGGTGCCAAGAGGATGATAAGAGTTCCAAAATAAGTGAATACATAACTATGATGCTAAGTTTTTCTCCAGAATGCAGTAAAATCCACTGCTGTGATACTCCCCTTGCGTTTCCTCGGGTATATTTAAAAATGATTTTTCAAATTACTGATGCATTTTTAGCTGTTAATGTTAATCCCTGTCTTGTCTTTGCTGTTGGCTCTTATCAATCGGTGCTCAAAAACATCACCTGGCAGGTGAAGTGTTGCCTTTGTGTTCTCGTTGCCTTCTCTGCACACTATAAATTAATCAAATGAATACAGTTGATGTTGTTACGGTAATTACACAGTGAAGACATTTCTGGGTTTGTTTAGATACAGAAATTCTTCTCACTGAAGAACTGAAAGTGATTTGTGTTGGAATTTAGCTGCAGCTAATCGAGTAGAATTTCAAGTCAAATGATGTTGGTATCACAGTTAGTTTCATTGTGTTATGTTTCTAAATATATAGTGTCATTCCTAACCATGAGTGTTAGTATTTTTGTAGTGTCTAAGTAGTGGAAAGGTCTGTGAAATGGCTAAAAATTCTTGGCAATATTGGGATTAAATATTAAGTCAGGTTGGCTGAAGCCTTGAGCAACCTGCTGTGGTGGGAGGTGTCCCTGCCCAGGGCAGGGGTTGAGGCTGGGTGATCTCTAAGCTCCATTCCAGCCCTTTAACATACTTTGAAGCATACTGAGATGATCCCCACACTCCACAGTTGCCCCTGTGCAATCTCACTGAAGTTCCAAACAGTTGTTTGGATCCTTCTCCACCCACAGTGTATGACTACACGTAACGCCTGAGCAGCATTTCAGGTAACCTGTGGAACTTTTGTGTGGCACTAGGGGTCAGATGATTGTTTGGTGAAGATCTGGGCCACGGATGACGGGCGCCTGCTGTCCACGCTGCGAGGGCACTCGGCCGAGATCTCGGACATGGCTGTCAACTACGAGAACACTCTGCTGGCTGCAGGCAGCTGTGACAAGGTGGTCAGAGTCTGGTGCCTCAGGACCTGTGCCCCAGTTGCAGTGCTGCAGGGCCATTCAGCTTCCATTACTTCCATACAGGTAAGGAATGGTTGGGTTTTCCCTAAATCCTTGAGTTAAAATGGGACTTGAAACTTCCTGCCAGGGCTGGAGAGAGGTGGGGGATGTGTGTCCTGCCATGGCTGCAGGGAGAGGATAGAGGGAATGACCTTGAGCTGAGCCAGGGCAGAGTCAGATTGGATGTGAGGAGAAATGTTTTTCCTGTTGTGGTGTTGAGGCCCTGGGATATTGCCCAGGGAGGTGGTGGAGTCACCATCCCTGGAGGTGTTTCAGAGGTGTCTGGATGTGGCACTGGAGGATCTGGTTTGGGGGTTCCAGCAGTGACAGGTTAGTGGTTGGACTTCATGATCATTGAGGTCTCCTCCAACCTTGATGATTCTGTGGTGATAAGAGATGTGGGATTTGCCTCAACTTGAGGGTTTTCCCTGGTAAACTCACTCCAGCTACTGCCTGAGAGGATCATCCTGCTGCTTCTGTCTGGCTGTAGCTGTGTGATCCCACTGCTGCTTCCTTAGGTCTGGAAATTGCTAGATGTGATGCTCTCAGTGTGCTCACTCAGGCTGATGTGGCTGGTCCTGGCACAGCACCTGACTCAACAGTCTTGTGTTCTTGGAGAGCATCAATTTTTCCAAAAATCAGTTATAATTCCTTCTTCCACATTTCTTGTTTGCTCAATGATTCTATGAATGTCTGAGCCTGTGTCATAAGGAGCAAACACACGTTTTCTTTAAAACACCCCAGAACTGCACAGGCTCCCCCATCATATCAGTGATCCCTGGGAGCCTCAGTTCTCTCTCCTTCTTGCCAATGCTTCCAGTTTCCACCTTGTTTTAGGTGATCGTTTTGGAAATGTATTTTAAATGTATTTTACAACCTGATTATCTGTTTTGTGTATTATTTGGTTTATATAGATGTAGATATATACACAGATCTATTTATTCCTCACAAACTTTCTGTAAAGCTCTGATCATTCAGAGTATCATCACCTGTGGCTGTCTGAGGAAACAGTGTTTGATTCCTCTATCCAATCACCAGGTATCCTGAGGATTAAAGGTATTACTGCAGTTATGAAATTAAGGCTCCAAAGCTTTCCTGCTCCTCAGAGAGACAGAGGAGAGGCTCAGGAAGAGGGAAGGAAGGTCCTGCTGTTTCATCGAGCTTGGATGCAGGAATCATTTTGTCTTTATTTGCCACATTTGATCCAGAAAGAACTGTTCCCTCATCTCATTGCCCCATGACAAGGCTCAATGCTTGTTTCATTTCTCCCATTTGCTCTCTTTTGTGTGGTAGAAACAAAGAGTTCCTAGTCAAAATGTAGATCTATTCCATTTCCTCAGACTTATGCTCATGGATGTTCAGGCTCTGCTCTTACCCTGCTCTGTCCTCCTGAGGAGAAAGCTAATATGGTAGTGACAAAAATTCCTGTCAACATCCATTTACAAGTTTCCAGCATGCGAGAAGAGAAAGAAATGAGCTGGTTTAATTGTTGCCACTTTATTTTTAGTTCTCTCCAGCAAGGAAAGGCACAACACGATACCTCACATCCACGGGCGCCGACGGAACAATCTGCTTCTGGCAGTGGCATGCAAACACCATGAAATTCAAGTGAGGCTCTTTAGATAATTACAATTATTTTGATTCAAGCAGGAATTTATTTGGAGGTTTGGAATGCTGAGATAATAAATAAGGCTGTTTTCTTCCTCAGACTGGTGTGTGGGGCAGGAGTACTTTGTGATTCTGTGGCACTGGAACCCACAGGGGAGACAGATTGGGGCTGTTGTTTGTGGGGTTTGTGCTTTGCAAGCCAAAGTTGTTATGTCTAGGTTTATCTTTTTCCAAAAGGTACAGAATTGATTTGCTTTTAACCATAAGAACATGCAGATGTATGTGGCACCAAACCCATATTTAATGGGGAATAAATGGTGTTAGACTAATGGTTTGGCAGGTTCTGTTTGAAATAGATTTGAATTGATAAATCATGATAAGGCAGTTAAACAACCTTTTCAAGTAGAAATTTATGGTTTTCTTGTGAAGCTGAGGAAGGCAGTTTCTAAAAGGAAAAATAAATTGTAGCAGATTTAGGTATTATAAAAGAAAGATATTTAAGATGAGCATATCATCAGGAAGTTCTCTGAGCACACCAAGTGTGTGGGGCAGTCAGAGCTGGAGGGAAGGGATGGGACAGCCAGAGGGACCTGGACAAGCTGCATCATGGAGTGCAGCAAAGTGAAGTGCAAGGTCCTACATGTGGGTCATGGCAAGCCCATCACAGCTCCAGGTTGAGTGGGGAAGGGATTGAGAGCAGCAGTGAGGAGAGAGACTTGGGGGTGATGGTGGGGGAGAAACTGCCCATGAGCTGCAGTGTGAGCTCAGCCCAGAGACCAACCCAGGCCTGGGCTGAGCCACAGGAGTGTGGGCAGCAGGTCAAGGGAGGTGATTCTGCCCCTCTGCTCTGCTCTGTGAGACCCACCTGGAATCCTGCACACAGCTCTGGGGCCTCAGTGTGAGAAGGACATGGAAGTGTTGGAGCAAGTGCAGAGGAGTCCACGACGGTGCTCAGATGATTGTAGCATCTCCCCTGTGAGGACAGGCTGAGGGAGTTGGGGCTGTTCAGCCTGGAGAAGAGAAGGTTGTGTGGAGACCTCAGAGCACCTTCCAGGAGCTGAAGGGGCTCCGAGGAAGCTGCAGAGGGCTCTGTGTTAGGAGCTGCAGGGACAGGACAAGGGGCAATGGGCACAAATTGAAGGAGGGAAATTGAGGTTAGATGTTAGGCAGAAGTTTTGCCTGTTCTGGTGGTGAAACACTGTCCCAGGTTGCCCAGGGAGGCTGTGGCTGCCCCAACCCTGGCAGTGTTCACAGCCAGGTTGGCTGAGCCTTGAGCAACCTGCTCTGGTGGGAGGGGTCCCTGCCCCGGGCAGGGGTTGGGACTGGGTGATCCCTAAGCTCCATTTCAACCCTAAATTCTATGATTCTGTGGTATTGACCTCAGCCTGCAGAGCTGTTCTGGGTGAATGAAGCAGTGAAGAGTAAAGATGTTGTGTGGTTGTGTCTAGGGATCGTCCTGTGAAGTTTGCAGAGAGGTCCAGGCCTGGTGTCCAGATCTCCTGCTCATCTTTCAGCTCTGGTATGTATCCAGCATCAACTGTTCTATGGACTTGGGCCCTTTGGTGACAATCCCATTGCTTCTCTTCAAATACAGATACTCTTAAACCCTTTCCCAGTTCATTGTAGCCCTGTCAGATTGTGATGGTTTGAAATTTTCCATGCTCAGTCTCTGCCTCATGCTGCTTTTTCTCTTTTGTCCCATAATTTAACCTAAAATACCTTGACCACCTCCAGGACAGACAATGCTTTCAGGCTCCTGTTTTTGCACACCAGAGATAGTTGTTTGTGGTTTTACCTTGTCAGGTTTTGGGGTGGAGAGGTCTGGAAATGTGGCACACAGGTGGTCAAAGGTTTTATTTTTGCTAAGCTTCCAAATGTGGTTGAATTCTAAGAGGATCAATTAAATGTGTTGGAAAATAGCAGTTCACAGATGTCTTTTGTTGCAGCTTTTAGTGCTCAAAATAATGATTTTTACAAAGAAAATGATGTCATTTCTGATTAAATTTGCTTTTAAATTGAGAGATTGTCTAGAACCACATTCCTTTCCTAAAACCAGAAGTCCTGAATTAACTACACCCGTTTCAATGCAATGAACCACACAATAGTGTCCTTTTTGGGCAATATCCTACAGAAATTAGAAGCAAACAGCTCAGTCATTGACTCCCCATTGAGCAATCATTTCTCAAGTAGATACTGAAGCTGCACTTAAATATTTTCTTTGCTATTTCCCAGTTTACATTGACATTTTCTGTTTAAAACTGCAGTTTGCCAAGAAAGCAGCAAATGGAAATAACTGAGGTTAAAATAAGTTTTTCCTTGGATGATTTCTGACAGCAAACACTCTCTCTCTTAGGTGGTATGTTCATTGCAACAGGTAGCACTGACCACGTGATAAGGATTTATTACTTGGGCTCAGAATCCCCAGAGAAAATGGCAGAGTTGGAATCTCACACGGTAAGAGGCAAAGCAGAAACCAAATCCTTTTTTTTCCCCCCATCTTTGCCTAATTTCAGGAACTTGAGTTTTGTGCATTTATTCATCTCATTAACTGCAGGATTTATTTGGCTCTCAGCACTGTGGTAGTTCAGTGTCTGGGAGTTTGGGGTATGTTTATTTTGACTCTGAGGCAAAAGGTTTGTGCAAAATGTTTTATGGATTTCATTCCCTCAGAAAACTGATTTTTCCCATATTCCTGTGTCATTCCCATATTCAAGTCGGTGTTGGACTGAGGAATAAACACAGTTTACATGCACAATGTCATTTTCCTCTTCAATTTACTGTTGAGTGTTGCACTTCAGTTGTGGCCACAAATCCACGTGACAAGAAAACCAAAGTCATTCAGGTTTTGGAGTGTGCAGAGTTTGGATCATGATGGCAGTTTCAGTTAGAAAATAAAGCTTTAAAACATCTTTTTTTTCAGATAATACAGAAAAATTCCAGCCACAAACTTATCACCTCAACATTTTATGGGTTAGTCCTAAGGGCTAAATCGATTCTCTGAGCTTCAATGGGAGTCACTGTCTCCCATTTAAATCTTCAAACCAGCACATCTAACAAGGGTTTTGCTCACGAAAAGAATCTTTTTCTCTGCTGAGCAGGTTGGGAAGAAGCTGGAATTCCTTTAATGTGTTTAAGCCCGGGATTAATGCTGCAGCTGTCAGCTGCCCCGGCGTGGCAGCAAGTTCATGGAGCCAACGCAGCTATTTAGCAAATTTAAAAAAAGCCAAAACCATGTCTAAACCACAACATGTTTCTCAAGCCAAGATTTGTATTTTTAGGATTGACTTTTTTTATGTGTTTTTAATGTTAGGCTTAAAAGTTGCACGAAACCATCACCTATCTGAAGTTTTCTGTTTCAGTGGTTAACACAATTCTCAGAGGAAGTTTTAACCTTAAATGCAACTTTTCTGTGCTTGAATTTGTGAGATGTTGTAGCAAAGATACAATTACTAAATAAAATCTCATCATTAAGATGATTTTTTTAATGAGAGAGTAATTGGAATGTGCTGCCCAGGGAGGTGGTGGATTCACCGTCCCTGGAGGTTTTCAAGCTGAGACTGGATGTGGCACTTAGTGCCATGGGCTAGTAACCATGGTAGGGTTGGACTTGGTGATCTTGGAGGTCTTTTCCAACCCAGTTGTTTCTATGATTCTGTCATCTTTTAGGATGAGTATTTCAGCTTAAAAAGCACTCACTGCTGTTGTTTTCCTCCCTGTTCTTTAGGACAAAGTGGTTGCAGTCCAGTTCTGTAACAATGGTGACAGGTGAGTGTCTGTCTGGGGATTTGGACCTGAAAGATGAGGAGTTTTAATTTCCCAAATTAACATACCATGGAAAACTCAGTGCAGCAGGAAAACTGCCTATGGGCTCTGATGAATCTTGGACAAATCATCTAAGTATGTTGCAAAATGTGTGTCATGTCCACAAGTTTGAACTGGTTGTTCTCTGCTGGAACAACAGAAATGTTCTGTTACTGTGCTTTGAATTTGTAGAGTGGTTTTGGGGTTTTTTTTGCTGTTAAATAGTGAATTAGAAGCCAAATTTTGTGTCTTTTCTGTGTAAGAGAATCAGTCCCCTGGTAGCTTAGTGAGGTACAAGGTGGTTCCTCCTGGAGTAAGAGCACTGTAATAAGTGTAGTTACTCCTTGTGAGGCACAGGTAGTGCCTCCTGGAGCAAAAGCATTGTAATAAACACAGTTGTAAGCCAAAAGAACTGTTACACATGGGTCAGACAGAGCTGTGGGCTCAGGATGCTCATGGTAGGGTAAAGGTGTGTTTGTGTCCAGCCTCAGTGTGGGAAAGTGGCATGACAAGCCTTGAGTGATCAACATCTCCATGTGAGTGGGTTATCCCACCTTTTGCTCCTGTTCCCTACCTCCTGGGCAGGGGGTTTGCAAGCAGGAGCCTTCCAAGCCAAACTGTAGCTTTGCACTTGCACTTGGAGGTCTTTGCCCTGTGGAATTACATGGGAATGTGCTGTTGTAATTGTCCTACCATTTCCTTCCAGGCAGTGTGAGAGCAGCTCAGGCCTCACTGGGGTGTTAGTCACTGCAAGTGATGTGCTGCAGTGATGCTCTGAATGGAAAAGGAGGAGCTTCCTTTTGGTTTCAATGTAAAGAAGGAAAATAAGAGTAAAAACTTGTCAGAAGCATTTTTAAACACTTTTTATCATAAAAAAATTCAGGTTAGGAAACTGCAAAGGTGAAACAATCACTTAATGAAGTAAAATGGAATAGCTACTGGAAATTTTGTATATAAATATATATCTA